CTCCTCCCCTCCCCTCCCCGCCTTCTCAGCGTTTCATTTTTGGCGGGGGCAGCGCCGGCTGCGGAGGGAAACGCTTGGCTCTCCGGGACCGGCGCCTGCCGCGGTGCGGATGCGTATGGACGAATCCTCGTGAAAACAGCTCCCGACGTTTTCCCCCACCCCCCCCAAAAAAAAAAACCAAACCCAAACAAACCACCCACTTGGATAATTAAAACGGTAAATCTAGCTAACTTTTCATTATCTTGCTTGCTGTGTGCTTATATATGTAGATATTCATTATTTATCTGGCTTCATTTCGTCATCTTTTGGTTTTTGTTAGTTATCTGATCTTGTGCTGCCGGAAAACTTGAAATATTGGGGTTTGGAACAGAGGAGGACTCCGTTTCTGCTTTTTCCTAAAGTTGGACTGAGGAATGAAAAGGTTCCTAGTTCATACCAACCTTGTGAATGCTTTTACTTGCTTTACCAACCTGAACGTAGATGAGATTTCCTGTGGCAGCGTCCTGGAGTTTGCTTTCCTTTAATTTTGGGCATAATACAGCAAAGATGTGTGCATGCTACACACATACAGTCCTGTAGGCTGATGGATTTTGTATGCTGAGATTCTCTTTAGTTTGTGATGTTAACAAGTGAATTGTCTTCTGTTTTCATCCTAATTCAACTTGTGGATTCTGCCAAGAGATCATCTAAACCAAATCGAGTAGTGTTTCTTAGCCCTGTAATTAGTCAGCTGCCTTTTCAGGGATAGAAGCATGCTCTCGTTTGTACAGGTCACACAATTTGTGCAGCTTCATAATCCAGAGGGCTTTTGTTTGAGAGGATATTAATTTTATATAGTCCCTGTATTGACTGGATAGTTTATGAGACTGGGCAACCCCAGGCTTTCTGCAAATTATGAAAACCAACTTTAGGAAATTATATGTCTTTGCTTTGTTAGGTATTATAATACCACAGATACTTATGGTTGCTACTATAAGATATTCTTCTTGGCATATTAATCCAGCAGATATTTGCCTGAGGAAAATAAAATTGAGATGTTAGTTAAAAAAAAATAAATCAACGTATAATGGGAGAAAAGACTGTCTTATTTTCATCAAATAAGAGAAAATGAGAGCATCAGTTGCATAGTTGGTAAAAATTACTGACCTGAACTTTGCTGTAAAACACGGGCTAAACTGCCAAGTCTGACTTGGGAAAAACTTAGCTCAGGGCAGACTCTGTTGCTCTTCATTGATTTTGTTTCTTTCCTTTCTGAGAAGTCAATCATGTATTGATCTACCTGCCTATACATGCATGGGCATATTCACCTGCCCAGGCACACACCTGATACTGTCCAAGTTCAGGACTTGTGAGCTGAGGTTTTCAGCCACAATGACTACAAACAATGCAGGAGAAAGGAAAAAGGAGGAGGGATTTACAATATTTGCTGTTGGGCATGTATTTTACAGACCTTACCTTGGAAATGAGTAGTCACAGAAGAGAGGCAGGACCTCACGTGCACTTGGCACAGCTTCTGCTCTGAGCTGCTGCCTGCTGAATTTTCATCTGTATTTAAAGTAATCTTTGAAAAATGCGTTTTCATCCATCATTTATCTTGTTAGTGTTAAAAATGGGATAAAACATGCATTTGCTGGTTAATTTGGTCTGCTAAATTCTAGGATCTGTTGACCCAAGAGACAAGTACTTTGCTTAGGGGCTGAAAAAATTATTTTTGCTTATGATCATACAAACTGCTGTGTGCTGATGCTGCACGCTTCACTTCTTGCAGTGTTGTATGAAACAGGAATATGGAATTAGGAGTCATTTTTTTCTCCTACACATAGGACTTCAAGGGGTTAAGTGATTGGTCAGCAGCACTGCTCAGAGCATTAGTAACTCCAAGGATTATTACTTTCTGAACACTTGGAAAGTTACAGCCTTTGCCTCAGGTTGTTTTAAGGTACTGTGAATAAACTGCTCTTGGTACCCCAGCCTCTTCACAATTACCATTCACAACTTTTCTCTTTGGTGAGATTTCTGCAAAGTCCAGATTTCCACCAAGCTTGTCATAAATATCTGGAAGTTTCTTCTTTTTGATTGTGGAGACTGAAGCACTTGGAAGGTTAAAGGAGTGGGAAAGGTCATCAGCTGCAAGCCATTGTGAAAAGCTAATATAATATCTAAAATTTGATTTCTGACTTACCTAAAAGTCTGGTGTTTTTAAGAGGAGATTAATCAAGCCTTCATTATTTTGGAGTTTCATTGTAATTATTATTATTATTATTATTATTCCCAGAAGTTTGGGACTCTACAGCTTTCACTGCCCTCAGTGAAACCTGCAAATAAGCAAGTTTCCTTGCATGCTTCCTCTTCCTTCTCCGAGAGCTCCAAATTGCCTGATCTTTCCATCCAAGCAGCAAATGAAAGGGCTTGCAGAATACACTCAGGCAGGAGGCACCCACTGCATGTGGAATCCGACTTCTGAGTACTGAGAGTCCCCTTGAGCTGGGGTTACAGGACATCTCTCAGGTGCTCACATCATTTTGTGCTAATTCCATATCTGAGGGTGACATACCACTTTTGTAGTGTTTGAGAGAGCAGGAGTGATTAAAATTCAGATATTTTTAATGACTTACTGATGCACAGCTGTTAAAAGTGACAACTGAATTTATTTGATCTGAAAGAGTAACACCTTTTTGCCCCAATTTTCTCTTTCAGGTATTTACTGGAAATAAGCCTTATATGCTGCCAGATTCAGTGCTCTGCCCTGCTATTAACCCCCTACCCAGAAACAGGGGAAAAAAGGCAAAAGTTCAAAATGCATGAAAAACTGACTTTAAGACAGCTTTAGCTGAAATTGAAATCAGTTTTTATAGCTTTGTCTTTTAAATGACTAATCTCTATCTGTGGGTGTCCATTTAACCTGTGATATAACTTTAGAAGCTGCTGGAGGCAATTTGTACTATAGGATCTGAGGTGATTAACATTGGATACACATGTACATAAAGCATTTCAGTATTTGATGGGTTGCATCTCTTGGTGTTGGATGCCTTTCTCCTTTTTTTAATATCACATTCTCATCTGCAGGGTAATTTATGAGCACGAGCAAAGGTTACAGGCTTCCTTAATTCCAGCTTCAACTGTTATGGCATTTTTATATAAATGCTCATTTTCTTTGTCATTTAGCAAAAAGGATCAATGTGATCCATTATCCTGCAACTATTGTGGTGAAAAACAACAAAAAAAAACCTGGTTCTATCAAAAATGTGTCCTCTGGTTGTATTTTTTTGTAAACTAATTATATATGTCAGACATAATGTTGCCCTCTGCTATGACATTATGTTTCCAAATGTAATAAAGTTGGGGTAGTTTTAATGCATGAAAAAAAACAAGTATTTTTTCCATGGGCATTTGATGTCCATGGTTTGAGATTTGCTCCTGGCAGAGGAGCAAGTCTTTCTGCCTATACAATTCATATTTTAATTAAAACCAGGGTCAGAAAACGTATATTATATATATTGAATTTCAAGTGTTATTTTCTTAGTGGTTCATCTTAAATATTAATGCTGGAGTAAGAGAATGGAATTGGAGGTTATTTCCTCCACATTCTCTTTAGGTCCTCAGTTCTGCAGTTACTGGAGGAAGAAAAGCACATGGGACTACAGTGAAATATGGAGACCTAGACATCCTAAGAATTGACTAAACACTTTTTAGTTTGCCTTGCCTGCAGTAGGAGTGTGTCACATGGTAATTTGGGAAGTTTGCTTGGAAATGGAAGAGTTATGAAACTGGGTTTGCCTCCTACAGCTGTGCATCCCTGTGTGTGCCTTTGCAGGTTTGATATAGGGGAGAGGTGAAAAGCCCAAAATTAAAAGCAGGATGGCTACTTTTAAATAGGCTTGGTCTGCCATAAAGCATCAGCTCAGCACTACAAAAAGTCCAACCTAAGGGCTCCCACATCACTGGCTCCTCTGAAAAATGGGAGGATTGGTAAAGCTCTATCAGTACATGAGAAAAGCAGCCTCGTTGACTATGTTTAAGTATTGTTTCTTGTCAAAATACAAAATGAGCTTTGAAAGTTTTGAGTGGCAAGCATCCCCAAATTTAAGACAAGGCTTACCAAAGTGAAAAAAATGGCTGCCTATGTTGTTGGTTTGTGTTTTTTTGTTGGGTTTGGGGTTTTTTTTCCTTATTTGTTCCTAGAATCTTGCGCCTAATTCATTGTATTTTGTAAGAAATTACTCCACTATGTTAAATGGCAGTGTTACCTTTTCAAGCTTTGACTGAGCTGGAATTGTGTTGATTGTGGAAAATAGAATGGTTTGATGGTAAAAACATCCCAAAATAATCAGCCAGTCATCTGGCCCATGCACAGATACAGCAGTTATGCCCCAAGTGCCTACCTGTTAAAAAGTCATTCCCTGCCACAGGGAATATTGAATTGCAGAGTGACAAACCTGCTGCTGAGCTGTCTGTGAGGTGCAAAGTGGGGCCAAGATGATTTAGCTGCCTACTTGCATAAGTAGGTGTCTGTGCTTACATATGTGCACAAACACACAGAACAGTTCAATGGAGGCCAATACAAAATTCATGTGAATGAACAAAAGTTGTGGTGAATTGTGAGGCAACATTGGGACAGGACCTACTGGGGAAAGAGGAAAGGAAAGCAGAAATGAAAACCAGGAATCACAGTATGTAGATCCAGTACGTAGACTTTTGACCAGAGTGAGAAGGGTTAGAACTGGCTACCTCTCCCAGAAATGCTCGTGCAGTAACGAGAGGGGATTGTAATTTGATGGAATTCTGCCAAAGGGTACTTTGTACCTATTGAAGTGTGGTTTCATTTGGCAGCTTCTCCTGACTTGAGGAGAACTTCCAAACTCTGCTGCTATAAGTCACAATCAAAAATATGACGGTGTTAGAACACTTTGACCTTCAAAAGAGAATTTGAGAGTATTAAATAACTGTACCTGTAACATAGTCGTGTCTGCAATAACAATTACAGGCAAAATGACAGAAGTCAGCATCCCCTTCCCCCTTTTACACAGTGGAAATATAAGTTCATTTTAGTCAAGTTTCATTCCTTTTCCTTTCTTCCTAGAGCTGTCTGTCGTAGAGCTGTTTCCTGCAGCAGCTGGGTGAGCAGGACAGTTGGCCTGGGTCTTTTCATGGACTGGAATGCCAAATGTCCCTGCTTATCATTCCCTCCCTCTGACAGAGGACACGCTGTTCAGTGAATCACTCTTATGGCCAGCAGCAGAACATGACTTCAGCATCACCTTGCATCTTCTGTCCTCCCAGTCCTGCTGCTTTTCGTGCCTCACAGCAATTAGGTTTCAGGCAGACCACACGTCCTCATCCTCCGCTGTTTGAGTTTCCTGGGGTTTGACTTGTTGGATTGCTGCTGATTGCACTCACGTGGTAGCACTGACACTGCCCTGCCTGGAAAACTTCCTGTGTGGGCAGCAATAATCCTTTGGGCTCTTGTTTCTGCCTGAATCCAGAAGCCACTGTGCATGACACTTACTGGAGGGTGGCTGTAATACATCAAAACAAACATTTTCCAATTTTAAGTGCAGATGATTTATTTGTATTATAACCACATTAGTTAGTCTCTAGATGCATACATTTGGGCCCTAATTGGATCTTTCATTGTATAAAAGCGATCCTTCCTCTAGGAGGAAAGAAACACATTATTTTTTTATTTTTTTCTACCTAGCACTGTTGATAGCATCAAATCCATCCAGTTTATTTGTATTAAGCCTAAGATTATATCTAAATTTAATGGGGGTAGGGGTGGAAGTAGCTATCAATACTCATTTTCTTATCCTTAGCTTTGTGCTAGATTATAAAAGATCAGCCTGGCTTGGAGAAGCCAGTGCAGTAGGCAGTGGTGGAGCCCACGGAGTACAAGTTTGCCACCTCACTGTGATGACTGTGGCTCACTGAGTCACTGATGAGAAGGGGGAGCTCTGAAACCAGCAGAGACAACTGAAACAGGGAGATCTGTGATCAAAATATCAGTTATCAGAGTATCTTCCTCTAATTTGTGTTATAATAAATCCTGGTAAATACAGCACAAGCTTTTAACAGGGCCACAGACATAAAGCAATAAATGTGTGCTGGGTAAAAATATTAGGAGTATGTACCATTGTCTGGAAAGCTTTTATCAAAAATGGCTCATTATAACAACTATTGTCAAGTTATAAACCTTACACCACTTGTGATAAAAATTAGAGTTTAATTATTCATTAACAGTTGAGCTGAGGGAATAACCTGTAAAGTTGGTAAGCGTGCAGGTGATGAAAGGTTGGGGAAGAATGCAAATGGATGGAACAACTGAGTTAGAATTAAAGACTGTCTTAAAAAATGCAGCTGCATAGAACCAGTATCAGGGATGCTCTCGGGCAGGAACAGCCAAGAGTGCAAATTTAACAGTGGAAACGAGTGGCCAGGCAGAGGTGACACCCCAGCAATATCACAGAGCTGATTCATGTTCAGATGATGTCTCTGGTGAATCCTTTTTGAATAACTGCTACGTGGCCCTCCACATCCTGGGCACGTGGGAAACAGAGAGAGCAGGGCTGCTCTGCAAGGGGGACATGCTGGGAGCCCGGGTGACCCCAGCACAGGCACTCCTCACAGGGGGGCCACAGCCCAGCACAGACAGGCAGAGCCAGGTGCCAATAATGGGACCAGTGACAGCCCCAGAACTGTGGGGGAATGAACCAGGGGCCACCCCAGGGAGCAGCCAGGAGCAAAAAATGACAGACATTATTTAGTGACAGAGAAAAAAAAATCAAATGTACCAGAGAAAACAAGCAAATAATACAATTATCCTCTCAAGAAAACAGGAAAGTCAAACTTTAGAAGTCTAATAGCATTTTGGTCTCTGTGAAAGATGCATTTTAGGCTGCTGATTTCTTTCCTAGGGAAATGACTTCCATTCTGTCCTAACACTTGTATCTGCATAAACAATCTTCTGTATTGGGCTTGCCCAACATAATGGCATCATTACCATCTCTTCCGCACAAAGAATTTTTACATTATGGTCATAAATCAAACTCCTTCTCACTCTGCCTTTTACTGAAGACTTTTAATTTTTTTCTTCCAGTCAAGTCTCACTCCTCTCAAAGACTGTACTGCAGGTCTCATTAGGAAATTACCTGAAGATTGACAGTTGCCAGTGGCAAAAAAGAGCCCCTGCTGTTTTCTAAAAGGCAAAATGTGTTTCTTTTCATTTAGACCAAAGCCTTGTGTGATTATGGGGTTTTGGCTTTTTTTTTTTTAAATTAATATTTTAGGATGTTTATATCCAGAATAAACAACCATTTTCTATCAATACTAAGGATCTATGTCTACACTGTCACTTTCTGATTTTCTGTTAAGTCCCTGTCTCCTGATCATCAAAACTGTCTCAGTTTGAGTTTGTTTGGACCCTGTTATGCAGAAAACCAATCCGTTCCTTTCAAGACAAAAGCCATATGTGGATTTAGAGGTGATTTGTTGAGGAGACCATTTCAAATAAGCACAGTAGCCAGGATCATATCCAGACTGGGGTCTTTCTGTGCTGCACAGTGTTTTCCAGCACACTTCCAGCAGATCTTCTGCTCTCAAGGGCTCGCAAACCTTTGTGTCGTGTCCAAGGATGTGCAATTTATCCCCGCTTTGATAACAGGCTATCAAACTACCAATCCACTGATTGAGCTCTCATGTCAATTTAGGTCTTTTGAACCATAAAATCTCTAAAAAACAGTGATGATGTCTTTCAGCCACATGGCCCTGTGTTACAGGCCACACAGAGTGGGCACTGCTGCTTGTTCACCCTGCTCTAGATGGAGTTAACAGGAATATTGTGGGCACCAGCCCCACTTCAGCTAAGGAGCTGGGAACTCGCAGCAAGAGAGACATTTTTCCTGTTTGTTTCAGAGATTTGTGATTCAGGATTAAGTTTTTTGTTTGCATTTCAGATTTTGTCAATGGCCTAGAGACACCCTAAGATTTCTCCTTGGGAAAAGCAGATCAGGCTCTCCTCAGCCCAGGGCAAGGCAGCTACCACTGGAAAGATGACAAAATGAAACAGCAAGATGAGCAGCCCAGGATGCATCCATTAGTTTTTGGCACAAAATTCAGTGATGCTTTGAACTCTCTGTAAAAGACAAATCTGACCTACAAAATACCTATATTTGGATCCAGCTGCCAAAGAAAGACAGGTAAAGAGCACCTGTAAGTGCTGTGCCATCCAGATCCCCTCATAACAACAAAGAACAGGAGCCTTATAAATGCTGTCACTTCTCCAGAACATGATTTGTGAGGCTTTTGTGAGGCAGTTCCACAGTCCCTCGTGAACAACAGCCTGGGCTGTGGGTGTATATGGTATTGGGACACAATGTGCTATTCACACTGGAATTCCAAATCCACTGTAGTCACCCAAAAGCCAGGAGTGTCATCTGCACTTAGATGTGTGATCTTTAAACAGCAGCAGGAGTGCTGGGTGTATATCTTGTTTTTAAGATGACCTATGAAGCTGTCAGCTGTAGCTGCTTGACCTATAACAGATAATGCCATCAGGAGGAGCAAGCACTAAAATGAAAAATAGCTTTCTTTGCTTTGCCTAACATTCATCTGACACTCCTAAAGGCTGGAGCTGGGCAGCACAACTACAAACAGAGTGTAAGTTCACTATGAAGGTGCCTCAATTGTCTCTTTCTAGTGGGCTTATGTTTCTTCTCTCAATTCTTAGGTAACAAGTCTGTTCCTCATTAGCCTTCTCCTTGATCTGGTGCTGAAATTATTTATTTGCTCTCTTGGTAGTTTGTTAGACTAATGGCACTCATTTCCTGTTATATACTGCTACATGTAAGAAATAAGCAAACCATGTTTTGTCATTTCAGTCATTTCAATCCACAAAATCTCCCAAACAGAACAAAGAAAAGAGATGCTTAGATGCACTGAAACTTCATCTGGTTTTTAGTCTTAAGAAGCTAAATTCGGAAAAGGTACCAAAAGAGCATGAAAAGTATTATTTAGGAAAACCAGACATTAGATTTACAGTGAGATTCTTTGAGGTTCTTTAGATATTATGCTTCAGAAGCAGCTGCTGTCTCAATGGCACACATCACTGGTTACATTTTCCCTCGAAAGCATGACATCTAATTTCAGAAAAGCAGCCATTAATTTCTAGCTTCAAAAGTCTGTAAAGTGTGTCAATCATTAATGACAATAAACAAAAATTCTCAATGTAGCAATAATTTAATCTCTAAAAAAGAAGAGAGGGTAAAAATGTGTCTTGGACATTTTCAGGCTTGAATGGTTAAACTAGAGAGTTTTTGACAACACATTCTGCCTTCAGCTTCAAAATGTTTATTGTCTTGTGCTCTGAAGAGCTAAAGAACCACTGTAACTGATAGAGGAAATAATTTTAGTGGGCCATATGTCCACCAAAATTATGCCATTTAAAGAAGTGAAATTATTTGCAGATACACTGAATTTTATGCCAGAACAAACCTTAACCAAGGATTATTGGGCACAGAGATTTGGGTTTTTTTAACAATCCTGATACAGCAGTAAAGGAAGATAGTTGCAACAGGATGGCAGTATTTCTGTTTCCATAATAGCTCAGTAACTGGAAAGCACAGTCCAGAGATAAAGTCTTGCTCTTTGGGGGTTTCTCATCATGCAACAGTTTTAACCTCACCAAGGACCACTGTCAGAGTCTTCTGCTCCTTCTGCTCATTACAGGCTGTTCTCAAGCAGGCTTGGAGCCACAGAGCAGCAGCAAGAGGAGCTCTCTAACCATTTTTTATGGCAGTCCTGAAGACAGAGATGCTCTGGTTCAAAGCCCTTTTATCTCCGTTTAAGAGAAGGGCCTGAAATGGGCTTAAGTTAGTGCTGTGAGGGGCAGTGGGAAAAGCAGAGCTTTGTGTTGCAAGGTGTGCAGGCACCCACACTTTGAACTGCTTTATCCATCCCCAACACAGGCAGAGCTGACCTCTTCTGGAATCAAGGAGTATAGAAAGTAAATCGAGGGATTTATGTCCATATGAAGAGAGGAACACATTTTTTTGCAAACTCCTCATTCCCTTTCAATATGTGTTTGCAGAAAATCCCATTAAATTCTTCTTTGCTGATGCCTATCTGTGAAGGCTGGTGGATGCAACACAAGATAAATGGAAAAAACAACCCACCAGAAACTCAGGTCTGTGTTGCATCCACTTGCAGTAATGGGCTTGGTCAGCTTGATTTGGACATATCCTGAGGCAAGGATGGAGAAAGAGGAGGGTGGGTCCTGATTCTCTTTGGAAAATGCTTTCCACTGCAGACCCACAGAGATGCTTCCCTCTCTCTAAAGACTCATGTGGTCTCCACTACTGCAGTATCACCTGAGTTTTACTGAATGTCCATCCCACTGCAGTCTGTGAGGTTGGAAAAGTGACATTTTATTGATTCAGAGGGAGAGGCAGGCCCCTGTCTGTGGATGGCATAGGAGGTCAGGGAGTTTGCCCCTCATCTCCCCAGATAACACAGCAATGATGCT